AACATATCCACCAATCATATATAATTTGATCACGTTTGCGGCTGTCATGGATATTGTTGTATATATATCTTGTATATCTTCCATGTAAATCAATTCATTCTCCATTTTTGTTTTTTTTTTTTGTCTGAAACACGCACCGCAATTTTTTGCTTTGCTGGTCGATGGAGCTTATTGATGTGTAATAAAACCAATTGCATTTGTTTTGAATATATAAATAAATCATAAAAAATACGAGGAACCACACCACAGAAGCGCCATTTTTTTTTTAGATGATTGTTTTGTTGTGTTCGCTTTTTCCGTTTCCGCTTTGTTGCTGCCTTTGTTTTGTTTTCCGTTCCGTTCGCGTTCCCTACGAAACGTGCGTAGCATACTAATTTAGTCTAAATGTCCTGGGAAAGGACATGAATCGGAGGGGAATCGAGGTCTGGGTAAATAGATACAAGTTCGGCCAGGACCCTCGGGTAACATGGAATGGATATATGTTTGATTAATCAAACAAAAAGTGTTGAAAATGTTATTTTTGCCAGCCTTGCAAATGGCGCATTTGGATTTTTATGTGCCACACTGATTTTTACGATAAATACACACACGCACACCCACACTCATCGCATTAGGATTGTATGTGCGTATAAAAAGCCACAAATTGTGACCGTTCTTGCCCCAAAATGGAGCCATAAACATGCCAAGACAAACATTTACAAATCATAAAATTTACCCTGAATAACAAAGAAAAAATTCAATTCACTCAATCAGTCATAAAATTTGGGCTTATTTTGTTTATAGAATACTCGGTATATACGCCTATCTACTTAAGGACATGCCAAATTGGACTAAAAGTGTCAACGCAATTGCTCATTAGACATGCCAAGTGCACACTGAGTGCCATAAATCCATCGACCAGTTCGAGCAATTAGTCTGAGAAGTGGATAAATACCGGCAAGACTCCACCTTTTCAGATCTCTGCAGGGAAATTATAAAAAACCGCTTTCGTAGCAGCTTCATTAACGGGATATGTATGTGAGATGACGTCTATACACTGTAGAAAAATAAATGGTAGTCTTAGATTTTTAAAGGAGCTAGAATATACTATGGATTATTTGGTGTCTTTTTAGGAAAATGGCTGTGGGAGATATTTCCTCAGAGGTTTTCCTATAAAACAGAGAGGTCTATATCTGTCAGAACCCTTTTAATATAAGTCTAAACTTTATAAATTATCAAATATTTCTTCAAGTGCACCTAGAAGTATCGGAAGCCAGACCCATAACCACTCGTCGTCTGGCAGGCAGTTTGTCATTTAACATTTGGCAAACGTATTAAAACACCCCATCATTGCCTTAATTAAGAGCCATAAAAGCACATTTACTTATTGTTCGACTCGCTGTCTGGATCTCCTCCACCCCTTGGCCTCCATGACCCCCACCCATTTTTCCTTCTTTCTCTTTCACACTTTAGTCTACTTGTCTCTCTCACTTAATTCTACTTTTTGTACATCTCGTAGCACGTCTTCGTGCTTATTTATCCTTTGGATATAAAGCACAAAAAAAAAAAAACACCAATGCCACCCACTACTTAACTCGGAAAAACCACCCCTTCATTTCCCCCACCCCAACCGCCCTCTTAGCGTCCATTTGTCGTGCTTAATTCATGGCTAAAGTTGGAATTAAGTGAATTTTACGTTCATTAACGTGCGAGGGTTGTGCTCTACGTGCCTGTGTGAGTGTGTGAGTGAGTGGGTGGTGGAACTGGCAGTGAGTGAGTGTGTGTGCGTGGATGCCATGTTCCAAGGTCGGACGGTGGGAAAGGGGGGGGTGCTGCTCAAATGGGCGCCATTCAAATGCCAAATGGTGGTGGACTGTTGCTGATAGCGGATAGGTGGAGGTTAAGCGGGCTTTTTGCGCCTCCAACGGTGTTGATAATTAGCCGAGCGTCTAATGCTGCACTAATAACGTAAATTTGTGGCATAGTTAACTAGACTAGAGGGAGGGTGGAAGGGGTTGTCCTTCCAAAGGTGATAGGAATATAGAATTTATTTACTATGGTATTAAAATATAAAAATACCTATGAATTTATATAACTTTCTTAGGTTTTTATAAGAAAAATTAGTATAGTAATCTTCCTTTATTAATATTAGTACATTATTCTATATAACTTTACAAATCTATATGTTTAAACCTAAGTTTTAAATGCCAAATACAATCCTTAATCTTATATCACTTAATTCCCCACATAAAACTTAAACTCACCCAACTAATTGGACACAAAAAAACTTTCAACTACAGAACTTTCCCTCAAAATACATATAAAAATATTTATACACATATGAACATATATGTTTGAAGAGTCCTTTCGAATGTCCTGTGATGAAAGTTTCAAGTCCAAAGCTATCACAACCAACTAACTAGCCAGAAATGCTGACCACTCCACACTGGCAGCTGCCAACTAGAAATCTTTTGGCCAAAAAAGTATAAAATGTGCCGCAATGCTGCGAATTGCCTGTTAATTAGTCTCACTTAGAAAATAAACTGCAGTAATTAAGAACAGAGGCAGACAAATAAAAAACGGTAGAGGGAAATCCCCCAAAGGCAGACAACGCCCCAAAAAACTAGTTGAAGTTTTTCCCCCGACAGTTCTTCCCCCCACCGGAGATGGAGTGAGCATTTTAATTTCAACGCTAGAATTCTAATTAACAAACAAATCCGGCAGAATACACAGCAGTCGAGAGTAAAAAATCCCCCTAGGGGAAGGAGTGAAATGCTGCAGGATGACAGAAAAAAAGTATGCTACATAAAATACCAAAAAAAGAAAAGGAAAGAGCGGGAGCAGGAGGAGGAGGTGGAGGAAAACGGATGGGAAACCCTGTGAGCCATGATCTCCCAATTTAATATTATAATTGCTACAATTATCATTCTCATGCCATTTACACAGCAATTGCACAAAAACAACGAAGGAAACGGAAAAGCAAAAGAAAAAGAAGAAACCGGATGGGAAGAGGTAGAGGAAGAGTGAGAGTGAGAGAAGAGAGGTGGTAGAGTCCTCGTCAGGCACTTGACTGGCGAAAAGCGGATGCGGATATGTAAGCCAAATTGAAGCAATTACCGGAGTCTCTAGTTTGAAAAATTGTACATAAAAGCCCAGTGACTCCTCCCCCAAAAGTGTTCCCCTTTCTCTCGCTTGGCTTGCGCAGGCGTAGTGCCAGGGATGAAAGAGAGTGTCAAGGATTCTCCTTCAAAAAATATTAAAAAAAAGGAAAGAAAGTCGAGGAATTCCCCCTGATGTTGATGAAGATGATGATGGCGTTGATTATAAAGGAACTTCTCGCCGGTGGGGGCAGAAGAACATTTATTTTAAATTTATGACCCAGCAGAAAGAAAGTTTCGAGGCGGATGGCCAACGAAAGAGAAAACAATTTTGCCCGGATTTAGAGCAAGCGACTATCTCATTAGGCTTACTAAACATACTATCTCTAAAAAACACCATTAATTGATTGTACATCGAGGATAATTGGCAAGTTTCGGGAACAAAAATTGATTACAAAATGTTTTTGCAGCTGTTATTATTATTAAATTAATTTGTCATCAAACAAAGGTCCCCACTCAGAAATCTGCATAAAAGCTGGCCACCTAAATGCTCCCCAGGATGGTGGGGCCTAACAGAAACATGACACGAAAATAATCACAAATGTTGTTGATAAAATCCCCAGACATGAGCGGGAATTTGTTTCACAATAGTGATGGAGCGGGGCGGGGACCTGGGGGCAGAGGCTATAGATTAGAAGTTCGTTCGTCATGTAAATGAGTTTTATCGCTCGGAATCGAACTAATTGAATCTGATATATTGATAAAATATGAGGGGGAATACCATATGCTAAAGGGGAGTTAGGAGATAGTTTTACCCTGGAAAAACTGGAAATTATTTTAGGTTCATTCGTAAATAAATAAGCTTTTATGAATGTAGTATTAAGAAAGGATAGATAATATTTAAATGTCATATAATTATTATATAATATATAATATTATACTAAGATCGTTTCATACCCCTTTAACCCTCTTAATACCCATTACAATTATGATGCATTAAGTGTGACACTTTTACCCTACTTGTCTATAATTCCGACAGCTGTCCCAACTATCCCCCCTTTATTTTTAAGCCCGCCCCTGGGCGTGGGATCATCAAAGGTACAAAGTACAGTTAAGCAATAATCAATTGCTTAGCAATTGTTGTCATGATTTGTGGTTTTTGGTGCAGTTGTTGTGCGATTCGAGCTTGTCATTTGATTTGTTTCTGCTACTCTTGTAGACTGTAGTCATTGAGTTTTCAACAGAAGTTGAAACACCACAACTAGAGCAGATAAAAGACAACAGTAGCACTGCAATGTGTAATTATCGTTGTCACTAATTAAAGTTGGATGACTAAAAAAAAAGGAATTGTAGGGCATAGCTCCAAATCTTATCGATGTGGGCAAGGGGATTTTCCAGCACAGACTCGGAGGAGACGACTCGATGGAGAAGAATTTCAAAAATCTTAATCAATTAAAGCTATTGTACTCTTTTTTTTAATTTTGTCTCAAAGTTTTATTGACCATAAAATTAATGAGTCTCTAAATTTAATTAGTTTTATGGTAAGAAAAAGGGAAAATAGGTTTCATGGTAAGAAAAGGGAAGCATTGTATTGTATTTTTTAAATTGTATTTTTAAATACGAATATAATCTATATTTCGGGATAAATCATATAAAACTAAATTCTTTGTAGTTTTAAATATTTAGTTTGCTTTAACTTAAATAGTTTTTCTTTAATTGTGCTTTGTGACATAAATATTTTATGTCAAACGCCTTTTAAAAAATGTTAAGGTATAAAATATTTGTCTAGACAATTTTAAATTCAAATTTAAAAATCAAATTAAGCGAAACGGTTAAACGAACCGGTTATCAATAAAAGGCAGCCACACTATAAAGAGAAAAAATTATCCTTTTATTTTAGACTACCTATGGCCACACTATTTGTAACAAAACAAAACACTTTTTGTTACAGTGTATAACAGAATGTAAAATCAGACACTTTTTGCGCAGAATGTATTATTATTTTTCATTTTGCAACAAAATGCCAAGCCAGCGGTTTCTCCTGGTGGCCTCTTTGCTTTGCTGCCTCTTGGCTGTCAGCTCCAATCCCCTCAAGTGAGTACTGCAAAAACGAAAAGACGCAATTACTTTGTTTTGTTTTTGTTGGATTGAAATGGAAAGTTTCCGGATCAAACCATTTCGTCCTGTCTTTTGAGGAATACCTTTTCTAACAACTATTATCAATATTATTAGCAAATGCTCGAGATTGACCTAGAAATGTGTATCCCCTCGAGACAAATAAACAAAGAACTGCGTTAGAACCATTACTCATAGTTTCCAATTTCTATTCCAGCGACATATCGGATTCGGATGAATCAACGTCCCTGGAACAAAAACAGAAGCCCAGCAACCCCCTGGCCTCCGATGAAGATAGAGAATACGAGCTACTCTATCACTTTGGGGAGGACGGCTCCATGTCCGACTTTGGCATTGAGAAACGTCTGCAGGATCACAACTGGGATGTTCTAATCTTCACTCAGCAGTGGCCGGTGACCACCTGCTACCATTGGCGCGAGGAGAACCCGGACCAGGAGTGCACACTTCCCCAAAAGAAGGAATTCTGGACCATTCACGGCATCTGGCCCACAAAACTCCATCAGATTGGTCCGTCTTTCTGCAACAACTCGGCTAGCTTCGATGTGGATAAGCTGGATCCCATCTCGGACCGCCTGGAGACCTTCTGGCCGGATCTGAAGGGGGAGTCGTCGCAGGAGTGGTTGTGGAAGCACGAGTGGCAAAAGCATGGAACGTGTGCCATGCTCATCACCCAGCTAGACGATGAACTGAAGTACTTTGCCCAAGGACTCACCTGGCGGGAGGACTACATCATGTCGCGCATCCTGGACGCCTCGGATATACATCCCGATTCGAACAACACAGTGTCGGTTATCAACAATGCGATAGTCAAGGCTCTGGGCAAGAATCCATCCATCCACTGTCTGTATGACGGCAAGCACGGGATCAGCTATCTGTCTGAGATCCGCATCTGCTTTAACAAATCCCTGGAGCTGATCGATTGCGATGGCGTAAAGCAGGGTGATGCTGTGACCATTGGCTATCCCGGTGGCACCATCACCACCAACTGCCATATCGACACACTGGTCCATTATCCGAGCCTGCTGCCGCCGCTGCAACGGAAGAGGGATTGGAAGTTCCCGCTAGTGAATGTCTACAAGCTGCTGCAGTTCCTGATGTGGTTCACCTTGTAGTAGGAGCAAGATCGCGTATCTAAACTGTAAAGCCTATGTTGTGAGGGAAGCCTTAGGAGGACTCAACGTTAACTCCACTTATATTTGGTTCTTCCACGGGGATTAACAATCATATACATATATACTTAATTTTTGTGCTCTCATATTTAGCTGCAAATTTAGTGAATGTTCCGCAAAATATTTGATTATTTGAAGCCATCTTATTATTTATTCACTTAGAGATAAAAGAGAGATCTCTGTTGTGGACGCTCTTCCAAGAATTTCTAACATAACCCACACACTTGTTGCTACTATTTACTCCATACTAGTTTTTTAAGTTGACATTTGTTTGATTAAAACGGTTTTTATTCCAAATTCCAGGCTTATTTCGTCTTAGATTAGATTATTTTCAGGCTGTCCTTTTCGTTTTGACTAGAACTTAAGATCACATTTGTTCAATTAAAACACACATCGACATGATATTTTGGAATATGGTTGAATAGTTTTAATTAAATTTAAGATAACAGATTATTTAAGTTGATATCTAGAGACTGACGGCACTGGGGCCGTCCTATTGCTGCTGCGTGGAATTGCCATTGTAGGTGGCCTTATCCTTGTCATTGTCTTCCTTCTGGGTGTCTTGCAATCGTCGAATGTTGGCGCCGCCATACCGATATCCGCCTGGCCGCTGTTGAAACTCAGCACTTTGGCGCTGTGACGTGGAATGAGCCTGGCTGGTGCTCTGCGTTTGTGGTGCCCGGCCGGGACCCGGCTGTGGTTGCGGAACGCTCTTCCCGTCAGCTCCGGTACCTTCGGTAGTTTCTGGCGCGGGTGTGGATGAGTGAGTCGCTGACGCTTCGTGGGGCTCCTGGTAGATGAAGCCTGGTGGTTGGCTTGGTCTCAAAGAATACATATCCATGTTGCGACGGGCGGCTCTAGAAAGAGGACATTCAGATTAAAAGACACAAAAAGTAACATTTAAAATATTTACGGATTCTGAATAACATCCATAACTTCGACCTGTTGTCCTGGCCATCGGATGTTGGCTATTATTGAAGATATCTTCTGAGAGAGCGGCCGCAGACCCATCTTGTTAATGTACTCGAACGCCTTGGCTGCTGGGGTCAGCATGGCCCACACCACAGTGGCCAGCATGGTCATCAGAGAGCCGCCACTGCGCACCACACGGTTCGAGTTGTCCTTGGTCAACACCAAGACCACTGCGCTGGGAACGAGATTCAGTTCAATCAGCGTCTTGACTTCGTCCTCTGCTTGGAACTCTCGGCGAGGATAGTTTGTAGCCAGCGTAAAGTCCCGACCATCGCTTCCTGCCAGCATCTCGTTCCTCACATAGACGCGTACGGTGGCCAGCACCTCGGCGGCTGGGAACGTTTTGGTATGATGGATGCCTCCGGGTAAACGAATCTGTAGCCGCGCCTCGTCCACAGAGCTCACTGAAGAGTCTGGCGTCACTGAGACAGTAGACGGAGCAGCATGTACCGGTTCCGGCGAGATAGTGACGCGTCGCGCCTGCTCTGCTCGATCGGCAGCGATCTGGGCCTTAATCCGTTCCCGGGCCTCCATCTCCTCTTGCCGTTCGCGACGAATACGTTCCTGCATATTCTTGAGCTCTTGCTCCTTAGCCAGCTGCTGCTGAGCCAGAGCCTCTCTGCCCTCCCGTCGCCGCCTTAGCTCGTTCTCCTTCTCCCGACGACGCTCCTCCTCCATCCGCTCCTTGCGCTTCTCTTCCAAGAGCTTTTGCACCTCCGCCATCCGCGCCTCAGAATCGCTGGTAGTTGATGTGGTAGGTGTAGTATTTGCCTGAGCTGTGACTGGGACAGCGGCGGATAGCAGCGGCACAGTGGGCAATAAGGCGTTGGCCAGGTTTCGAACCGATGGCCCAGCGTTAGGGGGAAGACCCTCGTCTAAGCTGCTTTCCTCTGTAGATGCTGCGGCGACAGCGGCTGCTGCTGCTCTTTTCACCGCAGCCTCTGCAGCAGGGGTATTGCCCTTGCTTTCCGCAGATGGTGAGGATGATTCGGTAACGCTGGAACGCGAGGACCTGGCGGTTACATAACTGGGAGTTGCCAGATTCGCGTCTCGGTAACTCGCTTCAGACTCCTCACTTGGCTGATCTTGACTGGAGACAGCTTCGGCAGAACTGGACGCTCCACCCACTTCCTTGGGAGATTCATCGACTTCCTCGGTATTTGACTTTGAAACAGAAGTGGCATTTTCAGTTTGAATATCTAAAAAAGAGACGAGATATAATTAAGCTTAGTTTTCTATGCGGATGACCAACCTGTCGTGGGCTGTTCCTGTTGGGTCGCATTGCTCAAACTGGTGGAATCATCGGCTCCTGCAAAGCTCCTTGCTGTGCTGCATGGAATTTCGGCTGGCAAGGCAGAAGTGCTGGTAGCTGGAGTCTCAGCTGCTTTCTTGCCCGCCAGGATGAGCACTTTGTCTATTTTGGCCACCAATTCCTCGACACTGGCAGTGACTCCTGTAGCTATTTCCAAAGGAGTTCCGGTTTTTCCAATGAAGAAAAGCGAAGGAATCGGAACCACTTTATCTAAAAAAATAAAAAAGAAAGTTTTATAATTGTTATGAAATAGTTTGAAATAAATACTCACAGAGCGACATAAACTGTCCATAGGCGGAGCTATTTCCCTGGACCTTGATGGCCACAAAGTCGGGGGTCTCCAGGAGGGAACGCACCCGAATATCATCAACGAACCGCTCCAGTTTGCTAGACATCTCATCCTGGCCTATGCGTGCAACAATGACGTGGTATGAAATCGGCAAATCAAGCTCCGGCTATCACTACAAAATCTTACCCTCTATGAATACAACGAAAACTGCATTTTTGATCTTTGATTCGGCCACCGCCTCGGCTATGTTGCCCGTGTGCCAGTTCATTGTGGTCGGAGGAGGTGCTGATGGTTTCCTGTATGGTTTGCTTCGGGTTTGAGCTTGCTAACTGCGGAAACGGGAAATTTTGCCTGTTTATGTTTTTCCAGAAATAATTTTCTGTGACAGCTGACTACCACAATGATATGACAAAATAAATTGGGTATTTTTTTCAGTATTTTTTAACTATCGAACGATAACTGTTTTGATAACACGATAGTGGCGCGTAATTTAAACTGACTGATTGACTTTACCGTTACGCGGATTTTTTTTGTTTTTATGCGGATATATAAAAAAAAATTTAATATATAGCTCATTTAGATCGAACGCACACTAAACATAGTGTTCTTTACACGAACTCTAAGAGCATTCAGGTATTGTTATCGATCTTGAGTACTCGATAATCTGCCGATCGTCCAAAACCTGAATAAAATATATATACGCCTTTAACTGCAATTACTTTTGCCGATTTCCTCCAGTGATCAATAACATTGAGCAGGTGGTGATTCACTCCAGGTTGTTCCAATTTAATACAGAAACCTACCACACCCTTCAAACATGTCAGGAAACGGGGAGGAGCACCTGGATGACTATTCGCCACTCTATTGGACGCTTGGCATATGTGCCGTCGTCTTGGCCTTCACAATTATTTTTAATATCTTTTTTTACTGCTGCTCCAAGCACCGTAAATACTGGCGCGACAGAAATACGGGAAACCAATGGGTTTGAAGTTGCCTTCCATATATGTACTTATATGTATGTAAAATTTACACATAAAAAAATTATAGGTACACTTATGTGGTTCATAGTGGCCACTGGCCATACGTGCGTTAAAATTTGAATTTAAACAAAAGGGCGCCAAAATAAAAGCTAATTGTTCAACCTAAAATTATTTATTAAATGTATATTGTATGTGTATACTTTATATTTGATAATTTTAACAAACTGGGATATCTAGAATTTTATTTTCTTTCGAATACTACTCTTAACTAAAATCCATCCAGAAACTGCCAAAATAAATAAATTTGTACACGAACTTAATAAAAATAATTTTTTATTCTCATTTTAAATATCTTAAAAGAAACAATATTTATGTTTTCCTCTCATTTTTTATACAAATCAAGAACTCTGCCATTTATATAGTCTCTGCGAACATACATCATATTTATAATAATTTTAATTAATGTTTTTATTAATGTTCCACCTTAAATAAAAACTAGGAATCAAACCAGAAGTTTCTTCATCACTGATGTATAATCGATCGCTTACAGAACCAGTTTCTTTTACAGTAAATAATTGATAAGAAAATTCAATAATGACGTTGCAGGAAAGCGAGCATGTTCATAAGAAAAATCTTCTTATTTCAGAAAACAAAAGTAAACATGGCAAGTTTCATGAAGCATGTTTGTAAACAAAGTGATTACTAGAAAATAATGTTTATTTTAAATTATAACTTTTAAACTCAGAACACAAAAGGAGATTTGGTCATGTCAATAAATGTTTCTGTGTTCTAGTAATTTCCACTTTTCATAGATAACTTCTTTGATAAAAAGAACAAAAACATTGATTTAGCATCAAGTATAGCCAAATGTGTAAAGTATAAATGTACTTTTCTAAGCTACGATTTGTTGTTGTCTCGACGCTGAAACAACTCTCGATATTTGAATCAACAACCGACGTCGTTAAAAGATGATTCCCTCCCTTGATTGGGGAAAGTATGACTATGTTAGGGTTTTGTGCAGATGATGATGTGATTGGTGATGCCAGTCTTCTGTATGCTGGGCAATGTCAAGTCTTTGTTTTCTCACGCCTATTCGCTGGAGTTGCCTGAAACGATTTGAAATATGGGGTTGTTGAATAATATTTCATATACTGGTAGGAGTTATAGACGTTTCTCACCCTCGTCGAAGTCAGAGTTCATTATGGAACTGGCTGGGGTTACGGAAATCTCGCTGCGCTCCACATCCGGTAGTCTGGCGACACGTACAATGCATCGTTTGGGCTTTGGTTTGAGTGGGAAGGGACAGGAATGGGCAGATGAGGCCCCAGGATTCGAAGACTTAATGCGCTCGAGGTTAACACGGCACTTCCGCACCTGGTACTCCACAGACCGCATGTGCTCCTGCATGCTGTCACTCTGGACATTGAAGTACGGGTGTCGCGGTATCTTTACCACCATCTTCATCTTTTTGGCCTTCGGAGACATAATAAAATCTTACACAAAAACTAGTCAAGTCGCAAAAACGTAGGAATGAAGACGCCGATGGCTAATGGCAGTGCTGGAAAATGGTGGCAAAAACAGTTACTATCGAAACTATTCAAAACAGCTGATGTTATAGCTTTTTTCAAGCCAAAAATCAATTTTATAAACCAAAACATTAGCTTAAAAAAAAGTTTTGTTTAAAACAACGTTCCAACTAAAAGTGACGCAAGTAACTTAAAATATTATTAATAACTTTATTACCGACTCTGGACCAATTTTCGTTTTCAACTATCGATAGTTTTCAGCCGATTGCTATTTTCTATCGAACTGGCTAGGCTTTGTTTTTGTGTGTCATTGCAGATTTTCATAAACATTCACAAAAGAAACTCGATTTAGTAGGTTAAAATTAGCAGCAAACAGCCATGAGTGATGTTCAGACCCTGATGGACATGGGCTTCGCCCGGGAACGTGTGTAAGTTACAGATCTTGGCTTGCGGGCTCGCTGCCGGCTTGTTGCGAAAATGGTGTTTCATAGTTTTCCTGGTGATTTTCCGCAGAGAATACGCTTTGCAGGTGACAAGCAACAAGGGAGTGGAGCCGGCAATGGAATGGCTGTTGGCCCACGGTGACGAAGAGATACCGGCAAATCAGAATACCGGGGAATCCCCGGCCTCCGCAGAGATCCGCCAGACATCCGGGGAGGATGCGGCCGCAGCAGCTCCTAGCAGCAGCGGTGCCGAGGCCTCTGCCGGTTCCCCTGTGGCCAAGTCTCTGAAATGCGACGACTGTGGAAAGGTGCTCAAGGATCACACTGAAGTGGAATACCATGCCGCTAAAACTGGTCACAGTAACTTCTCCGAGTCCACGGAGGAGAAGAAAGCCCTCACCGAGGAGGAGAAGAAGGCCCAACTGGCCCTGATCGAAGAGAAGCTTAAACAGAAACGCGTTGAACGCGAGGAGCGCGAAAAGGCCGATGCCCTGGAAAGGGAGAAGAACCGTATTCGTTCCGGAAAGGATATGGCCGAAGCCAAGCGGCGCATGGAGGAGCTCGAGATGAAGAAAATCGTGGAGCAGCGAAAACGCGAAAAGGAGGAGGAGAAGGCGGCCCGTGATCGGGTTCGGGCTCAAATCGAGGCAGACAAGGCAGCTCGCAAAGCCAGGTGAGGATCTAGAAGTTCCTATAAAGATATTTTTGAAAAATGGTCATTTTTAGAGAACAAAAGGAGTCGGCTGCTAGTTCAGAGCCTACAGCATCCGTTAGCTCTACCACAGTCACCTCGCCCTCGGCTGTGAAGTCTCCTCCACGCGACTATTCAGAAACCCGGATCCAGGTGCGTTTACAGGACGGTTCCACCCTCCAGGAGACCTTCAACGTGAAAGAGCAGCTCTCGGCCGTGCGTCTGTTCATCCAAGTGAAGACTGGCATCGAAACGCCCTTCTCGTTGATGACAACCTTTCCACGAAAGCTCTTCGCCGAAGACGACTACGAGAAGCCGCTGGAGGTGCTCGGACTGGTTCCATCCGCTGTTATCACCATGACCAAAACGCCCGCATAGGCCGCCAATGGGTAGATCTACAACTAAATCAACTAAACGATATGATTAGGATCTAAAACAAAGAATCGAATCGCGGCCCGATTTTTTTCCCAAAACATTTAATGTACGGTTTTATATATACATATTAAAGGATATTAACGTAATTACATAATATTTGTATTCTATTTTGATATCTGCGGGTGTTTTTTTTTGTAAAAATTAATATTTGGAAAATTTTAGAAGTTTTGAAGCTTAGTGGCTCCATCTAGTGAGTACGTTTCTTGTAGAACCCGGAAGATGAGTAGTCAAATTTTATTATTATTACATTAATAAATTATGATCGTTGTTTTGTGAAACATTTTCAGGAGTTATATTCTGCTTGAAGTTATTAAAATAGCTAAATATTTCTGAAAACTTTAATAATTTGAAGAAATTAAATTTGGCGCCCCGGCTCTACAGCATGTTGTGTCAAACAATCTCTATCTCGAACGCAACTCGAACTTAGTGTGGCCAAACAAAAAATACCAGAATATATATTTTGATAAGAAATATCGATATTTTGGTAAATTAACAGATTATTGATGTTTAGATATATTTTTTGTTTTATTCCTCTGTAAAACCAATTTCAGCTCAAAAAAGAATATTTATGAAAAGAAACACGTACTTAAAAACTTAATTTTTTTAAGTTTTTTTATACTATACTCGATATGGTATTTTTTGGCAAAACATCGACCTATCGATATTTGTTGAACTATTGTCAACACTAGCCGTCCTAACTAACACTCAAACCGCCCCCGTTTGCCGCACCGTTCGCATCGCTGTCGCTCGTCGCCGGATAAATCACACAGTTCTGACTTACAATACGAAACCCGTGCGCGACTTACAATACGATCGGAAAAAAAAATCTGCGGGTGGCTAATTTACAGCAGGATAACTGCGGCGGAGACTCGACTCGAAAGACGAAAATCGCTAAATCGCGACGCTAACTTGGCGAAAGGCTTAGTTGTTCCGACGACAAGACGCTGCCGTCGCCGCGTGTGTTTTGGAAACAGCACAAATAAAAAAAATCATTTATCAGAAGCCACTGGCAGCATATACTTGATTGCAAACGGACCCGGCCCACCCACCCCGCGCCCCGAGTGATAACAAAGATAATGCAGTAAAAGTTGCGAGAGCCAGAAACGTGACCCAGGCAATTGTTTGTTTGTCTGCCACACACGCACATAAATGTACGTTTGTGTGTAACTGAGTGTGCTGAGTGTGTAGCGTGTGTGTGAGTCGCCGTTGTTGCGTTTTTTAAATAATAATTAAATAATTAACAAAAATAAAAAAAAATTACAAAAATCCATTTCGAGTTTTTAGCTTGTTATCGTTTTGAGCAGCAGCCTCTTTGTCTCTGTCTCTCAGTCTCGTTCTCCCTCACACACACGCTTGCTGCCCCCGCGCACCCGTGCGCATCGTTCAACCCCACAAAACGCGGAAGAGCCAAAAAAAAAAATACAAAAAAAAAAACAGCCGTCGCCGCTGCATTTTTTAAGGTAAAAAAAAATCATGGAGAGTCAAAGGAAAACAACAGTCAGCCTACCAGCCAGCCAGCCAGCCCGGTGTTTAATTAGCCAGGAAAACTATGCCCTGGGAAATATGAGTGCCCCCCCTCCGGGCCATTTCTTTTGTCCCGTTTCCTTGCAATACATTTGAGCATTTTTTTTATTTTCATTGTTTAACTGTCCAAGTGAGCGAATCTGAGATCAAGAGAGAGATTTTTGTTTTATTTTTTTTGATTTTAGAGAGCAAAAAAAATGTTTAAATTTACAACAAAAAAAAGAAAGAAAAAGAAAAGTTGGAGCTCAATATTTGAGCGGCTTTTGCAGCTGGCCCGCGCAGGGCCCCAGCGCAGCCGAAAACGCAAGAATCCACTCAGAACCCCAAAACTCACTCACGCATACATGCGCAAGTCCTATAAACACACACTTACAATTGTAATACACGGACGCGCCCCGGTCGCGACAGCCAGCCAGCCAGCTAACGGCATATTTGTGCTCTCTCTCCCGACTTTCATCTTTCTCTCGCTCCTGTTTTCATTTTTCTGCTCTACAGCATCTCCCCATATATCCCAACAAAAGTACAGTGAGTGATCCTGAAAGAGAATACTTCCGGTTATTAGAGAGAGAGAGAAACTAACAGTTAATCCTTTGATTTTTAGAGAGAGAGAGAGTATTCCCACATTTGATCAAAAAATTTATTACCAACATCCGCTAGCTGGTTAGAAAGTCAATGTTGTTTATAACAGTACTTTTATTTAGGAATTTTAATTTTCAATTACCAATTGGCTATAAAAACAAGCTAACAAGTAATACCGTTTTCCTTTCTCTCCCTCCCGGCGCCCGGCACCTTGCAGTTCACCAAAATGTCCTCAAATCTCATTTAAATAAAAAAAATAAATAAAAGATTAAGTGTTTAATAGAAAAGAAAATAAAAGAAAAAGAGGCTTGATAGAGAGAAGAAAAGCCAAACAACCAAAACAGCAACAAATGGCCAACAATTGAATGGCGGCCATCAGTGGCCCCCAGCGGCATCCATTGAGCAATCAACACCATTTCTCCCACATCAACTCAAGCACCGTCACCACCACTGCCACCACCGCCACCATCACCACCACCACCACCTCGTCCATCACCGCTAGAACCACAGCAGCATCAGCAGCAACCACCAGGAAAAGCAACAATAGCACCACATCCATTGCTTCCATTGCTACCACCACTGAAACCCGCCAGCCACAACATTTGAGCTCCAGTGCCAGGAAACAAAAGCCAGTGCCAGTGCCAGTGCAGCAGCTGCTCGAATTATTTGGAATACTTGCCGCGTAGTCCATCAATGAGCGTTTCGATGTCCCTTGTACAGGGTGGTGCTGCTGGTGGTGCGCCCCAGGGCGCCAGCGCTATTTTGGCCGCAGCGGCTCCCTACTATCAGCCTCCGGCGGTGCCGCAGGATGTCCAGCCGGATCGTCCCATCGGCTATGGAGCATTCGGCGTTGTCTGGTAAGTTCTTTAAGAGATTTATATTACCATATAAACCGTATCTAAGGGGGTAATCTTATCTGTTTTGGTTAGGGGGTGTATTTTGAATAAATACTCTTTGAAAAGGGTTCTGGATTTTCTTATGGAGGAGGTACACTGTTGTGATACTATTTGGAGTATTACTGATAAGTGGAAGGGATATCCTATATCATTTCTAGAAATCTTTATAAAGGTGTTTCTTGTGGAATTCGAGATATTACCGATAAATGAACATAATACCGATCTGAAGCTGAAGGCCACCAGTCGCTATTTCTCTACCCCCCACTAGTTTTAGTTTAAACTATGAATAAGCTATCTTTATATAAATAAATAAACATAATATTCATACAAAAATCTTATAGATTTCATTAAAGAATAGATGTTTGTGATATTATTTGGGATACTACTGATAAGTATGAGGAATACCTATTAAAAACTTATTGAATATTTTTCTAAAGCAATTTCTTGTAAGATTTGGGATATAATTGAGAAATAAAGAGAATATTTAAAGAAAATCCTTCTGAATTTCATTAAAGAAGAGATATTTTTGATATTATTTGTGATACTAATATAAGCTAGGTAGAGTATCTACTACAGACTCTTCCCTGCATTTCTTTCAAAGGTATTCCTTTTTCTACTAAAAAGAACTACTGAATACTATTGTATGTATAGAAAATGGTTCTTTTTATTATAGAGGAAAGGTATTCTCTGTATTATTAGGGAAGCTTTTCATAAACATACAAATTTTATTCCTGAATTACTTTTTAGAGGCATTCCTGGTATTATTTGAGATACTATTGATAAATTAACCGAATACTTAAAGAAAACTGTGCTGTTTTCCATAGAAAATAGGAAAAGGTATACTATATATTATTAGGAAAACTACTTGAGTTATTTGTTGAGAATATCTTGAAGATATATTCCTTGTATGTATGTTAAGCTATTACCGATAAACAAACAAATAATTCAAAGAAAACTCTTCCGAACTTGATTATATTTCCTACTACTATAATATTTCCTATTTCCTACTAATACTACAACTGAGCCATTTATTGGGAACACCTTTAGAAATCTCTGTAAACTGATGCAACAAACCCCTCCAATAACCTCCCTGTACCTTAGTTTCTCATAAATATTCCAAAGACCACCCTAGGGTATTTGGCAGTTCGGTCTTTTGTTCTCATTTCCACACATGTATGGTTTAGTTTTTCATGTGATTTTTTGTCAGGGCCGGCCGACTGGGCCTCCCCGTGGGTTCAGCAACCTTCTGCTTAGGCCTTTGATTCTGTAACCCTTTTGATTGTGTGATGTTGTTGTTGTTGCTGTTTTGTGCAGCAGGGCAATGTCAACATCAACATGAGCCTCAGCCTCTGGCTTGGGCTTGGGCTCGGGCTCTGCCTAGTCCTCATCCTATCCATACTACACTCATTTCAATTCCAAGTCCCAAGTCCTTCATGATTTTGTGCCTTTGTGCATTTTTCAACATTTATTTTTTTTTTTGACTCCCTGAGGGTGGACTTTTCCTATGATATATATTTCTTACCCCAAGTCCTGGGCCTTCTCTCTGTTTTTGTAGCTCTGGTTTCCCTTCTCTTTGATTTTCCTGTGGACTTGACTCTTTTTGATTTAAATTTTAAATAAATGAGGTTATCGTCACTTCATTCCAATTAAAATAAGTATTATTTAACTCTCGCTGGTAATGTAGACAGAAACATATGCTGAAGTTCGGCAACGCTGCATTTACAAATTTCATTCACGTGTAAAACGGCATTTCCGGCTATAATCAAAACGCAAAGTGAGGCCAGTTGCCAGCTTGGTCTGCTGGTCGGTCTGCTGGGAAGCCAGTGAAAAACTGGCACACAACCAGGAGGAGGGCGGTGGCGACTTAGGCACAAGGAAGTCCAAAGACGAGAGCCACAAGTGGAGGAGAGCCCTAGGATGGAGGATGGGATGGGCAGGGCAGGGCTGGGCAGAGAGGCATGGAAGGAGGCTAAAAGAAAACACAAAGCCCAGAAAGGCAAAACTATGAGAAGCTAGAAGAGGCGCAAGAAGAAGAAGAAGCTCTGTGGCCCAACCCCTCCCCACCAGAAGAACTAGGAAGCCCTTCTGATTACCTTCCTGAAGGTAACTGAAAGTGGATTCCGCAGAATGAAGTCGTTCGGATTGGCTCTTTAAGGCAATTGTCAAGGGTGGAGAAGGTCTGAACTATATTGGATAATAATATTTTGACATAAATATTGACGGGATATAGTTATTAAAGGTATTTTCTTTTAGATAGAGACCTTAAGATACATAGTTTGTCTGAAAAATACCATAGATCTGTATGAGATATATCCCAAAAACGACTATAGATTTGTCTGAAAGTTGGATATATCATTTATTATGAGATACATTCCTTAAATAACTAGAGATTAGCCTGAAACTTGCCTCTACCACGTATTGTAATCCTCTTATCCTGAAAACCTCTATAGATTCAACCAAAACTCGGCTTTTCTATGTATAATAAGACTTATTTATAAACCCTTTATAGATCTATAATGCAGTATATATATATAAGATATATATATCCCATAACCACTATAGAATTGTCGGAAACTTAGATAGATTATTTATTATAAGATATTTTTTAAAAAACCTATAGAATGGCCAGAAACTCGGCTCTACCGTGAATTGTAGGATAAATCTTGAAAACCTCTATAGATTGAACTGAAACCTGGCTATTCTATGTATAATAAGACATATTTCAAAACCCTCTATGGATTAATCCAAAACTCGTAGCAGATATCCTGCCCCCTCTATCAAGGGGAGTGGTACTGGAACCCCGACTGGAATGCAATCAAGCGTTAAATTCAAGTGCCAAGTGTCGAAGTTGTTAGATGCAGCCGGCCCGGGCCCGGCCTGGCCATCGAGCTAAAGGTGGTGCTGCTTTAGAGGATCGGCCAACAGGGGGGTGGTGGTCGGTGTGGAAAGCTCAAAAGCAGGTAAAGCGTGGCTTGCAGGTGCGGAAGGAAGTGCCCCGCCAGGAGGGGCGGTCGTCGTTAAGTAGTTCTTGTTTTTGGCGCTGAAGTTGGGCAACATGGCCAACTAAAAATATAAAACTTTGACGGAATCTTGGAGTAGCTATATAGTTGGTCAAGTTTGGTCTCAAAGCCCACTAGGGAGAACCTCTTCATCCTCAATTACCCGACAACCGACACCCGAAAGACCCTAAAACACTTGAAACAATTCAAATAGAATCGACATCGATGGCTAGTGCCAGATTACTCAATTTATAATTTGATTCCCAGAAATGGCACTCGAGAGGTAGAGGAATAGGTGGGAGGAGGCAACCCAACCCGACCAACAACAACAAACATTTAACCAATTAATCCTAGGCTGAGTTCTACGAAATTTTCCTACGAAATGCATCCCATCGACTACAACTGGACACTGGACTCTGAAGAAACGAAAGAAGAATTGTATACAAAATTGTATATAGTATATATATAGATATATATATATATATATTTGTATGTATGTTTGGGACGACTCAGGTTGCTTCAGAGGCAGTGGAAGTGGCAGTGGCATAAGAAATATGCTATAAGGTATCCCAAAAGACGAGCAAATGAGCCAAGATCTTTGGGCTTTACTTTAAACTACCTGCAACTGGTTTTTGGGAGGTGAGCGGAGGCAGGCAGGCAGGCAGTGAGGCAGGCAGCGAGAGGCAGTCAGGCACTGGACCTTTTGCCTGCATCGCCAAGACAAACCCGCTTCCTGCTGCACGAATTGTGGTCTTGGACCTGGCCTGGTCACTGCTAACTCACTGATTTGGCTAAGCCAGAGCTAGCATCCCGATTATAGGTTCCTGTTACTTGAGTTTAAGGCCAGGAAACGGTTGGGAGATTGGATTAGAACCTCAAGCGGATATTTTCTTATAAAGGTTGTTAATATAATGACTCTGACTGTCATAATAAGTGATTAGATTTATAAAGAAAGGTTTCTATTATAAAGTATAGTCATCCAAGAACTATTAACTAAAGATTCAGATGATTCAATAGAGGTCTAAGCTCATTTCAAGGGTGTCTCCAGTCTAGACTATAGGCTGGCACATCCCGTGCTAATCCCACAACTCTTCACATCAGCCCCATAGCAGAGTTCCCGCATGATATAGCACATATTTAGTTTTGGATTGCTTCCAACCACCGAAAAATATATATTCTCGAATGCATAGTTTTATTTACTCCCCAGTCGTGGTGATATCAGAACCCGAATCTCATACCATCTCTCATCCACTCATCCACTATTTGGAACAGCTGCTCCTCACAGCCAGCCAGCCTGATGATGCTGATTCCCGTCCTGTTTCGGGTTTTTTTGGTTCTGCGGTGGTTGGTTGGTTGGTTGAACAACCTTCGCCTCTTTTTCAGTTATTTTGTCTGGCACACGCACACCACCACACAATGGTAGACACACAGATACAGACCGACAGACAGACGTTTACAGGATATGGTTGTGTCGTGAGGTCCCGCATATGTTTTCAGACCCAGACCCAGTCCCAGTCTCGTTTCGATTCGATTCGCTTCCCTGGGAGAGGAGGGAACACATCCCGAATGCAACCGAACCTGAACCTGAACCTCAACCATCCCTACTTCCTTTGTTTGTGGATCGGAGGGGGTATCTTGCAACGACAAAGTTTTTCAAAAAACACACACAGTTTTTTAATTTTCAACATTTTCCCGTAAGGGAGTGCCTGCTCCTGTGTTTGACTTTGAAAGTGTTTTGAATAATTATCCTGTTTTCCTATTTCCTAGATTAATTTGGTTCTATTTTCCATCAAAAACAGGATAACAGATACTTTTCTATTTGAGATACAAAAGGATCTCTAATCTTTCATCTCAGGGTCCTACCTTGCATCTCAGGTAGAGTTGGAAAAACATTCCACCACGTCCTTTTACCTCATTGGAGACAAAAGAAGGAATTACGCACGCAATTTTGTCTACAGCTTC